TTGAATCGCCAAAATCATGTCACTTTCAGGAAGCTTTTCACTAGCTGAAGCGCACTCTTGGCTTTCTCTCATAGTGCCCGGTGTTCCTTCCAAGCCTCCGTCAACTGACACAGTGACTGTAAATTACCAATCAACATCACCTGCAGGCACACAACTACAGACAATATACTCGTAAGAAATCAACATTCATGCCAAAAATTTGACGAGAAGTTGGATGTTTTTTTTTTGATGTTGAATCTATTCTAAGATACGCGCGATAAGATTTTGCGCGTCGAAGCTATTCTTTGAGCATTTCATGTAACAGAAAAAATAAATGTGATCAAAGAACTAGCAAAGATTGTTTTTTCCAGTAAAGGAATGATCTCATTTCGGTCAGACTCCGTATCAACAATAGCTGTGATTCGTGAGATTATCAGTGAAGAGACAACAAATCGCCAAATAAAAGTTCAGATTTCATGTGGTGGGCGAGTTGCAGATTTTCTTACTAAGAGACTTTCATTGTACGATGAGCATTATGTAAAATGCATGCATGTATCTAGATTAACTGCACAAAAAGATATTTTAGATCTCAATGACGCCAGCATAGATCATTGTCTCAAGCGTATGCATCCTCGAATGACTCACCTGCTTAATCTGGAAAAAAGAAAGCTCATGGCAGCCGCGCTGAAAGTAAGCTTCTAAATATCTGTAACCAAATACTTCTCATTTTCATAACCTTAATGCAAGCTGTAGTTAAAATATACACGATTCCAGGAGTTGGAAGCAAATTGTAGCGACACCTCTTTCTTATCAGAGCAAAACAAGAAAATACTCGAGAATTATGATCAAATTTTCCAAGACGCCGAAAAAGATTCTATGGAGGTATACGTTCACCGGTTAAAGCTAGAGCACACTATCAATCTTCGTAGTTTTCTTGATAGCGAAGAGTGAATTTTATAAAATTTTTTAGGAGACAAACATATGTGGGATTTACGAATCGTTGTTACTAAATCGTGCACGACTTAATGGACAAAATGCTCGTGGAAAAATTGATGCTCTGCGAAATTTGCTATTGAATGATTACAGTTTAGAAAATGTCATTGCATTTTTCAAATCAGCTTACGAAGAAGCATCGCT